GGTTACTATATTATATAAAAATATAAGGTGTGAATTGCAGTAATTAAACTTTGTAATACATATTATATATTATATAAAATATATATATTAGCATAACGTTATTATGTATGTTTTAAGAAATTGACATTATCTTAACAATCGACACACCAAGCTACTACTAAAACTCTTAGCTTTCAAATAAATGTACTGCAAAATGTCTATCAAATTTGTGCATTCAAACTACTTATATATATATATATATATATTTTTTTTTTTTGTTAATATTATTGATATACATATTTTAAATAATAATGTAAGTATGTGCATTCTCATAACAGTCTAATCAGTCTAATGTACCTATATTTATTGTACATTACATTTGCTTAGGTAGGTAAATTTTTAAATTAAATAATAATTACATTGAAAAGGATATCTATAGATATGCATATAATAATATGGTAGTATAATGCAAAGAAAAAATTTTGAAAAAAGAAAGGAATATAATCATTTTTTGAATATTTGAATCTCAAGCACTTGAACCATTTCTGAGTTTTGCGTTTCACACATGTATGGTCGTACTAAAGTAAAAAAAAAAAAAATGTAATTTTCCAAATGTACTTATTAATTACTGCATTTTTTACTACATACATTTTGAACACAATAAATTTTTAATTTTAATATACATAACATTAAACACAATAGTAAATAATTATATATATATATATGTATATAATAAAGTTTAAAAAAGTAGAATATAAATGATACTTATGTATTTATTAATACAATAATAATATGTATAAATCATGTATAATACATTTTTGCATACCAACGATATAATAAAAATATTACAATATTTTAAGCATTGGAGGAATTTAAATTAAATTTATTATAATTTTATAACACATAATAATGTATATATGTAGTTTTATTGTTTTGAAATTTGTTTGAAATATTGCAAAAAATTAATGTGTGTAACCCAATGTAAAGGTTAGTACAGGTATAAGGTATGAATTGAAGGAATTAAACTTGGTCATGTACCTATATTTATTCTACATTACATTTGCTTAGGTAGGTTAATTTTTAAATTATCAAATTAAATAATTATTACATTGCAAAGGATATCTATAGTTATGCATATAAGATTTAATATAATAATATGATGGTGTAATGCAAAAAAAAAATTTTGAAAAAAGAAAGGAAAATAATCATTTTTTGAATATTTGAATCTCAAGCACTTGAACCATTTGTGAATTTTACGTTTCACATATGGGTTATTGAATAATACTGAAGGCAACATGTGTGGTGGTACTAAAGTAAAAAAAAAAATTACTTATTAGTTACCTACTACATTTTTTACTACATACATTTTATTTTAAACACAATAAAGTTTAAATTTTAATATACATAACATTAAACACAATCATAAATAAATATATATATATAATAAAGTTTAAAAAAGTAGAATATAAATTATATATACTTATGTATTTATTATTATTAATACATACAATAATATAATATGTATAATACATTTTTGCATACCAACGACATAATAATAAAAATATTTCAATATTTTAAGCATTGGAGGAATTTAAATTCAATTTATTATAATTTTAAAACATATATATAATATGTATATGTAGTTTTCTTGTTTTGAAATTTGTTTGAAATATTGCAAAAAATTAATATGTGTAGCCCAATGTAAAGGTTGGTACAGGTATAAGGTATGAATTGAAGTAATAATTATGTGATATTATTATAATAATGTTTTATTACTACACACATACCAATGACATGCGACTTAATATAAGCATATAAAAATCAGCTCATCGATAGGGAATGTAATAAGTACAGTACATTTTCTAAGTTGTGTTTGTGTATGGTTTGGTGTAGTATTGTAACAGTGTCATTGGAATACCTAATGAAAATAGTCATGATACACTCACTAAAGATTGCACCGCTATTGAGAACAGACGACGACGATGTTGTGTTTCTCTTTCATAATCACGACCTAGTACGAAATGTCTCGAGCACACTTTTGAGTTGGCCAAAATCTGTTGTGCATTTATACCACAGTCCTCGACAAACAGCACCCACCGACGTCTCCGTAAATTCAAATAATAACATATTTTACAATTTATTAAAGCAAACATAACATTTTAGAAGATTTCAAAAACTGAATTGTGCGTTATATATCACAAATTATATTATTTTATATATATTATATATAATAATATAGAAATACGGAATAATAATAATAATAATAATGTTCGAAAATATTCGTCGATAAGGAAAAGGGAGATAAGCGATCGGAATTTATAGCGAACGCGCGGGAAGTATTGTGATTGATCGTCATGGAAGAAACGCGGAGTGCCGTCAGCGCTCCCCGCGGATCTTATACGCGTTATTAGCGTTTTATTATATAAGACTAGATTTTGGCGTTTGTCATCCCGCCTGCGGCGGAAAGACTGTGTGGGCGGTGGTGCATCTTTGTCGGCGATGCTGGGTTTTTTGATAAGGCCTGCGGCGGGAATGGGGGTCGTCGGGTATTGTGTTTTGTCATGTTGGCAGCACTGGTTAAGCGGTAATTTTTGAACTCGGAAGAGTGTCTAGTTGTAAGTCACGCGATTCAAGTCGATCGTACAACACAACCAGTCAGGTAGGCAATCCGACTACGTCGGATCGCAGACCATACCCCGAGCGTGTATGTCCGGTGTCTCGTATGTGTGTTGAAATCGGAAATTCGGGTTCTCTGAGTTTGAGTGTCTAGCTATCAGTCATCTCGGGTAAAAGTCGATTCCCGAGTGTCGGTTGCAGTGGGGGTGTAAGTCGCTCGTATGCAAGTAGCTAGTCAGGTAGGCAATCCGACTATGTCGGATCGCAGACCATGCACCGGGCGTGTATGTCCGGTTCTCGTATGTGTGTTGAAATCGGAAATTCGGGTTCTGAGTTTGAGTGTCTAGCTATCGCCTATCAGTCATCTCGGGTGAAAGTCGATTCCCGAACGGACAATCCGCCTACAGCGAAAAGTGCTCGAAACGGCCGTTCAAATCTGATATACCTACCATATATATTTATTTAATTATAAGAATTAAATCAAATTAACAAATAGATAATTATATTGGTGAATAACAAATTTTATTGAAATGTAATACTATCATATTAAACGTAGGTATGTATAAATTAATACACTATACAATTTTTTGGCACTTATCTTCGTAAGTACCTACTATCATAATATTTTGCTGTTATATTGTATGTCTGTATATAATATATGATGTACCTACCTACCAATTTATTAAATGTCATATGATGTTTTAAATTATTTAGTAATTATAATTGCATAATTATAATGGTGCATCATTGTGTTATGACTTATGTATTATGTGTATGAAAGTGTGTATGAAAAAATCGAACTTTTTGTCGCATATTTTTAAAGTAATAACAACACTATCCGCTCCCCGATCTCCTCCGCGGAACTCGACTCGAGCGAAGTACTACGGCGGCTTATAAATTTAGCGGGGAATGCCAATAACATCCAAACAGGCAGGGTAATACCACTAAAACGGGCCAAGAAACGAATTTTAGAAAAAAACTCAAATAATATGATATAAAAATTGAAACCAGTCTTTTATACAAATCCAATTTATAGTAGGTACACTAGATTCAAAATATATTGCTTATTTTTTAAATGTAATTACATACTGCATTTTTATAATTAATTTTTTTGATGATAGTTAAATGTTATTGATATAAATATAATTTTTTTATTAGATGCCAAGTACAGAAGAAGAATGGAAGAAAATTGCTAATGATTTTGGCATAAAATGGAATTTTTACAACTGCTTAGGATCTATTGATGGAAAGCACATTGAAATTAGAAAACCTCCTGGATCAGGCTCATACTACTATAATTACAAACAAACATTCAGCATAGTCTTAATGGCAGTAGTAAACGCCAACTATGAGTTCATTATGATTGATGTTGGTGCAAATGGACGTGTCTCTGATGGAGGTGTATTTTCAAATACTAAATTTTATCAAAAACTGAAAGAAAACAAATTGAAAATTCCAGAACCTGATTACCTACCTATAAGTAACATTAAGTTACCATTTGTTTTTGTAGCTGATGATGCGTTCCCTTTATCTGATAATATTATGAAACTTTACCCTCAGAGGAATATGACTAGGGAACAACGTATTTTTAATTATCGACTGTCGAGGGCTCGTCGCATTGTTGAAAATGCATTTGGAATATTGTCTTCCCGTTTTCGAATTTTATTAAATGCAATTAATTTAGAACCAGACAAAACATCGACAATTGTATTAGCATGTTGTTATTTGCATAACTTTTTAAGACAAAAGAATATACAAATATTTTTACAAGACAGTTTTGACTTTGAAGATGTTAGTTCTGGTCAAGTCCGTCCAGGAAGTTGGAGAAATAACAACCAACAACTTATTTCATTAGAATCTTGTCAACAAAGAAATAGCACAACTACTAGTAAAGATATAAGAAACAAATATTGTGAATATTTCAACAATATTGGAGCAGTTCAATGGCAAAATAATATATTTAATGAATAAATTTAAAATAAGTTATACTTTTTAAAAATAAATTACAATTAACTACCTAGTATAAATATTAAATCATTTTAAATACGAACAGAGTTCAATTTTGTTTTTATTGTTATAATAAAGGTATTTATAGTTAGGTACTTAGATATATAAGGTTTATTGTATGTAATAAGAAAATCAAAAATCTTGAAATGTTATTAATTTAAAATAAAATTAATTGAATAGGTGTTCATAAAAATTTAGAGCAATACAAGTTATTTTTAACTACCTATGTAACTTGCATCAACTAACCTAATATATATTACACATATAATAAATACAATATATGCAATATACATATATACATATAATACATGTGTGTGTGTATATTTATTTGTAAAATTGTATTATAAATCAAATCAAAATACAAAATTTAACATTCCGTAATAGTCTAGTACTGATGCCTAATAAAAAAAACTTACAAAATTAGTCATGTCTTCTTCTATGGATGACCTTCCAATATCCTGACATTCTTGATCTCTTAGAAACTCCAGATCATTAAAATACCAAACAGTGGGCTCATACATATCGTCAGCACCAGCTCCAGATTTTCTACTATTGATTTGTTTCTTCAACTCTCTTCGAAAATTGGACCTTAATGTGTTAATTTTTCTTTTTGTACAATTTATATCTGCAGTTGGTTGATGTTCTTTTAGTTTGTCTGTTAACTTTACATAACATTGAGACTTTAAATCACGGTTTTTATAATCATCACTTTTTATTTTCCAAACTGCAGGTAGTTCGCGATATAGGTTTATAAATTCACGCCAGAATTCTATGTCTTTAGTAGTAACCATAATTATCCTAGCTACATACAAAAAAAAAATTAAAAAATATTATAACTTTATATTAATACTTAAAATAACAATATGTTTAGTTAAAATATACTTACTTTATTAATGAATAACGATTTTGAAAGTGAAAAGTATAAGCACGTGGTACAACTGTGATAAGGTTTTTGACTTTTGTTATTGTTTTGAATGATAACGAGTATAAATCATTACCACACATGGTCAGTCATGATTGGCAATCACTCTGATTGACAACAAAAAATCAAACTTGTTTGAAATTCATCAGTCACAAAAAAAGATTGACATTCAACAATATACACGGTCAATCACGAGTGACAATTACAAAAACTGACATTCATAACTGACCGTGTATGGGGCCCTTCAATAATTGTTTATTCTTATTTGCCGATGACATTAAACCATACCTAAAAATAAACACTCCATCAGACTGTCATATCGTGCAATCCGATCTTGATACATTTTCAGATTGGGTAGGACGTATTAATCTTACGCTTAACATGGATAAATGCCACGTAATGTCCTTCTCACGAAGTAAGTCACCTCTCCACCACTTCCTTAATGGTTCCCTTCTTAATCGTATATTTCTTGTTAAAGACCTAGGTATCTATCTCACGCACACGCTCTCTTTTGACCACCATATCAATCCTATAATCGGTAGAGCACTCAAAATATTAGGATTTGTTAAACGTAAAACCTCCAACTTCACATCTAGCTCTTGTCTCCGTATACGGTATTTCTCTTTAGTTCACTCCGTTTTAGAATATGGAGTAGTGATATGGCACCCATACCTAGCACGTGATGAACTGAGACTGGAGCGAGTACAAAACAGATTTTTATCCTATGCTGCCTTCAAATTAAAAATTAAACATCCCATACACGATTACTCACTCATTTCCTCCAATCTTCGAATCCCTTCTTTAGCCTCTCGCAGCGCAGGCGCTGACCGTCATTTCATCTCTTCACTTCTTGAGGGATCTCTAGATTTTCCTGAATTGCTCTCTTCTATCTCGTTCCGTGTTCCATCTCACTCTACTAGAAATCATTTCCTTTTTCAATTACCCTACCACCGCACTTCCTATAGATTCAACCACCCACTTCACAGAATGTTACGCAGCCTCAACTCAGCCTAGTCTTTTGAATTTTTTATCTGATATATATTTCACATATTATACTATAGATTTTTTTTTCTTTTTCTCTTTGTTACTGTATTATTCAACTGTTTTTGTTATATTTAATTTTACCAACTAATTTTGGCAACAATGTCATTTCACTAATAATTACTATTTACTAGGCGCTATCTGTTACATTTGCTTGAAAGTTGATCTTTAGTAATTAGTTTAATTAAACATTTTGTGGCGATATCACATCACTGTTATCAAATAGAATAAAACACTTTTTTTCATTTTTCCTAACAACGAAAACTGTATAATAATATATTTATTTATTTTACTTAATTATATTACACATTCTTTAGTAGATCTGAATAGGTTATTTGATTAACTTCTAACAAGTTAACTGCCACAAGATCGCCGGCCTTCTAACAAGGTATGTTAATGCGGGGGGCCATGGTATAAATAACTGTAATATTCATGTGTGTATTTATAGATAGGAGAGTGTAATCGTTATTTTGAATATAGTTTTACAATTGGAAAGACCTGAATAATAAATATTTAGTTTGCTGTCGGTCAATATTACTCGTTATAGATTTAAAATTAAGATATCATATTATTTTTTTTAATTATTAGTTTTTTTTTCCTTATACAACATAGTGCCATTACTAAGTCTTAATGTCTACACCATCAATGATATACCTAGTGTATTGAATACAATGCCGATTTGAATACCTTAATTCAGTTTAGCAGTCTATCTAAATGACTTCACTTTAATGTAACTATGTTAGGACGCAGAATCAAGTTGATACACATGCAGGATTTGTACTCATTTAGTACTATTTCTCCAGTGTTTAAACTTTCTTGTCTTACAAAATTAGTGATCGAGCGCATGACCAACTTGGGTATAACTGAGGAAAAGAATATTAATAGAACACGTCTCAAGGAACAATTATTAGCATTTACGTTAAACTTGTTTAAATTTGTAGGATACAGTAGATGAATAGAATATATGAATTTGAAGAAAAGTAACGTTCTGCTACAACAATTTCCGAATACTGTGAACTTATTTTCAAGCCATATTTTACTAATCAACTGAAAAATAATTCACGAATAGATATTGTATGCATTTGTTACATACACTTCATAAAAAGTATTTTCTGTTTCAGACTTTACTCTATATATATTTGCAGATAATTTTTTATAATCTTTTTTAATATTTATTGCTAGTTTAAGCTGATCTTAAAATATATGTCGAGCTGAATCATTTTATCTTTTCATTATAGAGTTGACGACTAAAATAGCAAATGGATTTTCAGAGTACCTAATGACAATTCCGATATCTTCATAATACTTTTTCTTTTCTTCAAGTCTCTAAAACAAAAATTACTTATTTAAAATTGAAGTGTTACAATTTAAGTATCAAAGTTACACCAAGTTTATCGTTTTTAATTCAACAGATGGCACCAAAAGTTCAATCCTATTTTACCCCTTTCCAGTTTTATTAAAAGTAACCTCAGGAATAGGTAATGCAAGGCGAAAGAATTTAAGATCAAGTAGTTTTTGAGATTTTTGTGGAAAAATAAACAATCGCTAAGGCTATTTATAATATAATAAAAATCACACAGCATTTGGGAAATGATAATATTTTGTGAATGTCTTAAAGTGGTTGAATAATGAATATTTGACTAATAATATTTTATAAATATTTTATTATTATGATAAAAAATAATGTACTATATGATTGCATAAAAATTTTGACTTAATATTTTTATAAAGTTTCTGTAAAAATGTTTTTTGAAAATATATGATTAAAATATTTTGTAAATGTTTTTTATAAAATATTTTCAAATTTATGAACTTTTTGGCCAAAGAATATAACTTAAATATTTATTAATTATTAACGCAACTTTTTAAAATATTTTTACAACTTTTATTTTCCTGAAAACATTTTTAAAATAGTTAGGAATATGTTTATGCTGTATGGGAAGTAGTAGTAGGATAATTTAAAACAAATGTTTAACTGTACAAATTATACCTATATTCAATAATTTATAATGTATATCACTATATATTATTCTGTTGATACCGCTCCGGATCGGATTCCAGGAACCTGAAGAGTCCCCGACTTCGTCCGACCATGAGGAGAAAACGTGGGTATCCGATCGGAAGCAGATGAGGCCTTTGGGTCATCCATCATCCAAATCATCCATCAGATGAGAAGCCAATTGTGGTCATCCGAGGACGAGGAGCTGGTAGCGATATGGTCATATGGAGGAAGTGGTCACTGAGCTGACGCCAAAAAAACGTAGGTAGTTCCTGTCGGGACTTGGGAGGCGTATACTGAGTGCTGGTAGAAAGTTGTGTTGCTGCGGTGGTGCCGGCCGCGGTCAACTTGAACGGCGGCGAGCTACGGACACACCGTTGGAGTGGATATTTAAAAATGTAGTGTGTGCCAATACGACAATATGCAAGCCTATGTACTATCGTTTGCACGGGATTTTATGAGAATGACCATAAATACGCTCAGAGGATAGAATACGTTGTAGATATAGTGTTTGCGTAACTGCAGCTACACGTGAACGTAGCTTTAGCAAACTCAAACTTATAAAAAATTATTTGAGATCAACTATGGGCCAGGAAAGACTTTCGAATTTATCTATTTTGTCGATGTAAAATTAAGTGGCTGGATAAATTAATTTTGAAGATGTCATCGATGAATTTGTGGCAAACAAATCAAGAAAAGTCAAATTATGAGATTTATTTTTTTGTGTGTCAATAAAAACGAATTTTAAAATAAATACTAATTGTTGCTTATTACATGCTCTTCTAATAAACATATATACATATTCTAATAAACGTATATATTAGTTTAACATTTTAAAAAGGATGATTTTTTTTTTTTACGGAAGGGGGCGCATATACTCAAACTTGCCTCAGGTTCAAATGATCTTGTTACGGCTCTGTTTGCGTCCACTACAGGTGGCTCTTTTCCTAGAAGCTGTGGTCAGAAGTGAAAATAATTTTGTAAAAAACAACCACCCCTTCCGATCGAAATTCTAGTCAACGTACGTAAAACCGTTGTGATTTTTTGATATTTGAAGGCTCCACTGAATTTCGGACAACGGAAAAGCGTGCCGCTACCTACATTTAACATGTATAATCGTTGTCAACCAAAGTTTAAGTACTTATCAAGCACCTGCACTTTTAAATAATTATTATTTATTATTACTATATTATTTCTTTTTTTATCACAGACAATACTTTTTTCTAAAATCATTAATAAAATATTATTGTAAAAAAATGGTTTATTTAAGTAATATAAAAAAATTAATCGTTTTAGGTAATCTTCACTACGAAATTATTTGCAAGTCTTCGCTCTTTTAAAAAAAATCGTAAAAAGTCTTAGATGTACCTACTTAAAAATGCACATAAAGATTGTTTTACTACACTCAATTTTAAAAGTAATTGAGCAGTGAAAATTTTTACTTTGTGCAGTGCAAAAAAAGAATTTCAGAATGATATATTTTATTGTATATTATAAAACAATAATTGAGTAAACTTCAAAAAAAAAAAAAAATATATACCACTACCACTTTTAAGCATATGCTTGTGATGGTGGTAGAGAGTTATTTTAACATAATACCTATAAACAACTTAACTATAAATAAGAAAAACGGACAAGAACTGAATAATCAATCTATACTCCGTCCAAAATAACCTTCCCCACTTTCGCGCACGCGACTGAGCCGCCGGCAGCCGTCAGACCCCCCTGGCGAGAGTCAGGAGCGCTGTGATTGGTCGTTAGTTGTCGACCGACAGCCGCCGCCGTATATTCGTCGGTGGCGGCGGGGGCGGCAACAGACATGCGAGTTTTCGTCAATCGAGCGGGAAAGGTTATTTTGAACAGAGTATACACACGTACATTACCCCTCCCCCCATTTCGACTATCGACATTTTTTTTGTGCCAATAATTAGTACTCAATTCCTGTTGATTCCTGACCACATTTTCATAATTCCTGCTCTAACGGTTTTCCCGGAAAGTCGAATTTTCCACGGGCGGGGCTGGTGTAACGTTATTCCAGCACCATTCACCTTCCAAATTTAACTTTTTGCAATTTTTGTTGCGCCAATAATTAGTACTCAATTCCTGCCGATTCCTAACCACGTTTTCATAATTCCTGCTCTAACGGTTTTCCATTTTTTTATATTTTATTTTTTTTTTTTGGTTAAAAAGCTTAAAAATAATTTTACAGTTAAAACTTAAAAAATATTCAAATTTTATAGCTAAGGGTTGAAAATCAAAACGGCCTAAAAGTTCATTGAGAAATTCAGTTGGACACTACACCACTTATGTAAAAAGAGGATCAAGAAATTGGGAACTATATTATGACCTTAAAAAAATGCCTATTCGTGTGAAAGAACACACCATTGTGCCAGTCGAATTTTTATTTTATTCAGTTTAAAGAATAATTATTTTATAGATTTTTTAAAAGCTGACTATACAATAACTAGTTGGTTTTTATATGGTAATTCGGTTATTTTAATTTTTACAATTTCTTTGGTATTATTTACAACATATGACTGATAATGGTCGTCCAAACCATTTGTACAAAATAATAAAGAGCAAATAGCTACAGGAATCATGTCTGGTAAAATATAAATATGCTTTATTAATCCATACACTGGTAAACTAGTTACTTTATTTATAACAACACACATATTGGTAGTGAAATAACGAGTACCATTTAAATTATTATTCAAAAATAGTACGTGTTGAGCGGCCAAACATACGTTTTGCTGGCGTTTCATTTGTGGTTGAGTATACAGTATTTCTATACATCAATAAAAATTTATTCAAATGGTGTAATGATGTTGAACATTTATTAAAAAATTGCTTAACTATTTTTACTCCAGATTCGACAAATCCATTTGAGGCTGGGTGGAAAGGTGCCCCTGTCAAGTGCCTGATACCTAGTGTCTTGCAATATGACTGGAATTCATCGCCATTAAAACATTTTGCATTGTCAGTTATTATTGTTCTGGGAATGCCAAAACGTGCAATTAACTCAGACAGTTTTGTTATGACCGTTTGTGCTGTCATCGAATTTACTTGAAAAACTTCTAGCCACTTTGTGGTTGCATCGACAATAATTAAGAATGTTTTGTTTTTGTACGGACCTAAGAAATCGCAATGCACTCTCGTCCATTGTCTTTGTGGCCATTTCCACGGAGTTAGTACTGACTTAGGAGGATTAGGTCTCGCATTTATGCATTCATTGCAGTTTCGGACCATATCTTCAATTTCTTTATCTATACTAGGCCACCAGAAATACGAACGCGCAATGCTTTTCATACTCGACATGCCAATATGACAAGAATGCAGTTCAGTTAGAATTGACTTACGGAATTTGGTTGGTATGATTACTCTATAGCCCTAAAATAAACAATCTTGTTCAACAGTAATTTCTGTTTTGCGTGTATTATACGAGTTTAATTCGGAATTTATTGAAAAGTCATTACTCCATGAACCTGTTTTTGTAGCGTGTAATACTCTAGAGGTAATTGGATCTCTTTTCGTTTCAATTTTAATTTTGTGCCAATCTAGCGGAAATGGTGACTGTTCGTGAATAAAATTGATGTGAGCGTCGTCATATTCATTAATATTATTGTTGCATTGGTTTGTTTTAATGCGTGATAAAAAATCAGCAGTATTTCCTTCTGATTTAATATTCTTAATTTCAAAATCGAATGAAGAAAGAACGTATGCCCAACGTTGTAAGCGATTTGCCGCATAAATTGGTATTCCTTTTTTTTCTCCAAATATGTGGATTAACGGTTTGTGATCAGTAACTAATGTACATTTTCTACCGTATAAATAATCGTAAAATTTTTGAACACCAAAAATTATGGCTAGACCTTCTTTTTCGATTTGTGGAAATTTGCATTCACTGTTTGACAATACTCGTGATGCATATGCAATTGGTCTTTCTGAGTGGTCAGGATAAGTGTGCGATATGATTGCACCTAGTGCGTATGACGAAGAATCGACCGTGAGTTTTATGGGAAGTTTTTGGTCATAATGTGCTAACACAGGACTTGAGATAAGCATTTTTTTTATGTTATTATATGCTTGATCACATTCTGGTGACCATAGCCATTTTTTTTCTTGTCTTAGTAATGAGTATAACGGTTTAAGAATGTCCGCTGCTCTTGGAACAAATTTAATGTAATATGTTACTAAACCTAAAAATGATTTTAACATAGTTTTATTTTCTGGAACCAGGGCAGATTGTATTGCATTTATGTGTTTAGTTAAGGTGTGCGAGCCATGTTCATCGATTTTATGACCTAAATATTCAATTGAATTTTTGAGAAAACTACATTTGTTTTGTTTAACCCTTAAACCAACTTCGGATAAAACGTTAAGTAATTTTTTTAATCTATTATTGTGTTCTTCTACCGTTTTTCCCGCAACTATTATGTCGTCTTGAAATATACCAATCCCTTCTAAGCCTGTGGTTGATATTTCCATGGCTTTTTGGAATTCCCCAGCTGAGCTTTTTATTCCGAACGGATTTCGAGTATAACTGAATAGGCCTTTGTGAGTATTTATTGTAGTGTATTTACGATCACTCTCTTTAATTACCATTTGTTGATATGCATCTTTGAGATCTATTTTAGAAAAATATTTTGAGCCACTTATATTCGCATAAAGATGTTTTATTTTTGGTAAGGGATACTCAGTTCCTTCCAATACGGGGTTGATTGTAATTTTGAAATCTCCACAAATTCTAACTGTACCGTCGGGCTTAAGAATTGGAACAATTGGAGTGGCCCATTCGCTGTAGTTCACGGGAGTTAAAATATTATTATCTATTAAACGATCAATTTCCGACTCTACCTTAGATTTTAGTGCTAAAGGAATTGACCTTGGCTTGAAAAACTTGGGTATTGCCCCCTTTTTAATGTTTAGCGATATTTGGTATTTATTAAAGGTGCCGATTTCATTTTTGAATAAATGCTCGAAATTTTTTAATATATTCACTATATTTTCGTTTACATTTATAGTATTATAAATGGGAGAATCGTTTATTATTTTTAAATCATTTCTACCAATTAATGGCGGTCCTCCGTTTTGTATTACGTAAATGCACATTTTAAAAGACTTTTTCAAATATTTAGCATTTACTATTAATTTTCCTATTGGGCTTATATCATTTCCGACGTAATCGCGTAGTGAAATATCGTTTGGTAATAAAGTTAAATTATTAAAACTTGTATCATATAATTGTTTTGACATTACACTATGCACAGCCCCCGTATCTATTTCAAATTTTAAATCTTTATTTTCAATTAATAAATTGATAATGTACGGTTTTACTTTATTTTGAAAGTTATTTTCAATCATATTAAAAAAAGTGTCAGATAAATTGTACGCGCTTGCGTCATCATGAATATTTTCATTCGTGTTATTACCAGAATTTTCGGATAAAAATTTATTGTATGAGCGGTTATCATACTTTGGTTTATTGTTCTTACTTTTACACATATAGTCCAGTCAAGGAATGAGGTGTAGAGTGCGTGAGCAGGTAACTTAGCGAATCCTTCAGAAACTTGTTCGGGGGGCTTAGGGTATTAACATACTAAAAGTCCTGACTCCTAGGTTGCGAGCCGGAGGGGGGGAGGGGGGTTAAAGTTGCGCTTTTTGGGTTTTTCGCTTATATCTCGTAAACGGTGCATCGGAGGAAAATTTTTTTAAATAACAAAATAAAACTCATGAAATTATCTAAAACTTTTATATCATATGTTTTTTTCGAATTCACAACCGTTTTCGAGCTACACCTTCGAAAAAAGTAGAATATTACAAAAAAAACCATTTTACCTCCTTATATTCATAAAACAATCCATCATATTGTATAAACCTATTCATAAACTGAAAATATGCATAGAAAAGAAGTTGTAGATATTTAAATTCACTTTCAGAATATATACACATTACACATATATTAATTGTTAATCTCCAAGCTGCCTAAATGTATAGCTATTTTACAACTTTCATAACATTTTGCAATTTTCAGAAAATGTATATATCATATTCTTGACCCACAACCTTTGTTCGTTTATGTAATAATATATGTGGCCACACTTTTAAGAAGTAAAACAGACAAAAATAATGATAATACACACTTTATTTTACAGATAAGTAGTTCTCAAGTAATTCTTAATTTTACATGCAATCATATTTTCATTTTCTTTGAATTTGAGGGCCCAGGTTGTTCATCCATTGCATCTTTGTCTGTAGTAATGGGTGCCTCTTGTTCTTCATCGTCCTCATCTTCAACAGGCACGCTGTTCATGCATTTACCTTGGCAGTGGAGGCACGCTGCAGAACAAGTCAGCATTGCTTTCCGGCAGCCACTTTTTCCAATCATACAATATCATATCACGGAGCAGGTTTTAGGCATAAATAAAGTCCGATAATGTTAGTCAATAATTAGTTATCTATACATATAAAATCCAAATACCACTGACTCACTGATCGCTGTATCTCAAAAACTACTCAACGTACGGACTTGAAATTTGGAATAGAGGTTCTTCTCATATTTTCACCGTGCAATAAGAAAGGATTTGCGAAAATTCGCATTTTAAATAGGTGCTCAAACAGGGACATTGAGATTCACGATGGAAATTGGAAATTTTATTTTTATTTATTAATAGTTGTCATTGGTTACAGTCTACAGTAGAAATTAGCATTTATTTATTGGTTGCCATTGGTTATTCGGGCAGATCAGGTACAAGCTTGCATCAAATCGAAATATTGAACATTGCCTACCAAGGTGGCTGAGTTGCACTTACCGCAGCAAGTTACACCCAAAAGGAGTTCAACAATCATAATTTTTTTTAAAAGTTGCGATTTTTTACGAGCAACCAAATTTGTTATATTAATCCACCGTATTATATCAAAATAAACTTGGTATAACTTTGATACTTTAGAGTTAAATCATACACTTCCGTATAAACAGCACTGGGTCCGCGATCTACCGCAGGTAGATTGCCTACCTGATAATGTACTGCTGCGATTCAGAATTTTTATTAAGGGCAACGGAAAAGATAAGATAAATTTTGAACACCATACACCGAATATTGAATAACGAATTGAACAAAGTTTGAGTCATATTGAGTTGATACATTTATCGGGAGACGAAATACACGGGGATCAGCTAGTAATATTATATAGACATACGGGTAACGGAATGACAAGTTGAACATTCGAACATTTCCAAATATTTACTATTCTATATTTAATCTATATTTATTACTAGCCAACAATATTATAGTCTATCATTAAGTTTATAATCGCTATTAATATTTTTAGAAGTTGGATGGAAATTATGATTTTATGAACAAATGGTGATGTAGTTTAAATTTATATAAGTAATAAGTAGAATATGTAATATAATATGTTGTATAACATTTTTATTGCAAGAATAAATTGAAAAAAAATTAAAAACTCAATTTATGCATATATTAATTTTTTAATAAACACAAATGCCCTAATCTTGATGTTTTTTGAGGGAGGGCCATCCAAGGAAAGGGGTGGCAGAGTAAAAAATGAAAAAAAACGAATATGGTAGATAATATGATGGATTGTTTTATGAATATAGTGAGGTAAAATGGTTTTTTTTGTAATATTCTACTTTTTTCGAAGGTGTAGCTCGAAAACGGTTGTGAATTCGAAAAAAACATATGATATAAAAGTTTTAGATAATTTCATGAGCTTTATTTTGTTATTTAAAAAAATTTTCCTCCGATGCACCGTTTACGAGATATAAGCGAAAAACCAAAAAAGCGCAACTTTAACCCCCCTCCCCCCCTCCGGCTCACCACCTAGGAGTCAGGACTTTTAGTATGTTAATACCCTAAGCCCCCCGAACAAGTTTCTGAAGGAATCGCTAAGTTACCTGCTCACGCACTCTACACCTCATTTTGGGTCATTCATTGACTGGACTAAATGTTTATACTTTATATTGAATATTGAAGTACAACTTCTTTCTTGAGGTGTGGAAAGAAAAAAAAATCGTAACAAAAAAAAAACCGGGTAAGTAGATGTCGCTCTGCTGGACAGTAGGTTACAAGTGGGTTATTGTATAATGGATTGTATTAAACTTGAATTTAATGATATAATATAATTGCATAAAAAAAAAACGATTCTGAGCGGACATGGTTTGTCTGTCTGGATATTTGATATTGTTATTATTTATTATATCATGTAAGTTGAATTAATATTCTAATATTATTTTTTTTTTTTCGTTTCTATGGTAAACAAAACGTTATAAATTAAATTCCCATTTTTAACGGTTTTTCGTAATTTTTCGGTGGTTTTTCCAGTGGCATTATATTACTATTTAGAAAATCGAAAAACGACTTTTATTGTACCATCTTGATCCAATTTGCTAAAATATAAGGTACTATATTATGATTAAATGGAAGCACTCCTTCTGGTAGAAATTTTGTATACAGGATATAAAAAAAGAACACCATTGTAAAACCACTAGCTTCCTAGCTCCGCTCAGAATCTAAAATGAAACGACACGTTTGTTTATTTATTTATATTTTTCCATAGAAACCATTAATAAATAAAAATGTCTATCGTAAATTACATATTTTTTTATTGTATTGATTAACCTCACTCTCTCCCTAATTCACTTATTATTTCACGGGCCCAATTACTTATGAAAGAAGTTTTACTTCCCCAGAGTGAAATGGTGGGTTCACACATCCTTTCAATTTTTTTTTAAATAGAGAATTGAAAACCACATTTTTTTTAAACATTTAACACCATATGAAAATAAATATTTTAATGTAGTATTTATTTATAAAAATAGTAAATTAGCAATTTAGTATCAAGAAACAACTATGTACACCACAAAATGAACACTTCAACAGTGTTAACATAATAATATGTTAATCTGATTTATTCTACTTTAATATGGCCCTATAGTCTTTGATCATCCCGATAAGTGTGGCGTGGCCATTATACAATGACCCACTTGTAACCTACTGTACAGCATAGCGACATTCACTTACCCGGTTTTTTTATTAGTTCTTTTTCAACCATAAATTTTCGTTAAAAAATAACTTTTCACTAGATCAAATTACTGAAAATATAAACAAGGTTTCTGATAAGAAACATACCTCTGTATGTATATTTTATAAAGTACAACATTTAAAATAATAATCAAATCGGTTTTTTCAATAGATATTTAAGTTCAAAATAGAATAAAATTAGATATTTTTAATTAAACTAACAATTTTAGACATTTTTCTCTATAACTTAAATAATATTATTCGGGCGTACTTGAATTCCCACCCACATTATTCTTTTGTTCTGCACCCCATGTTTACACACATACTGGACATGGAGTCTACGTCTATAATTATTATCCACATAATATTATACCCCAACAGACATGCATAACTATGCATATAACGCTTATCGGCTACGTTATTGACTATTGACGTGTTGTTTTA